GAGAGAGAGAGAGAGAGAGAGAGAGACAGAGAGAAAGGTCTTCCTTTTGCTGTTGGTTCACCCTCCAATGGCCGCCACGGCTGGCGCGCTGCGGCTGGCGCACCGCGCTGATCCGATGGCAAGAGCCAGGTGCTTATCCTGGTCTTCCATGGGGTGCAGGGCCCAAGCAATTGGGCCATCCTCCACTGCACTCCCGGGCCACAGCAGAGGGCTGGCCTGGAAGAGGGGCAACCAGGACAGAATCCGGCACCCCAACCGGGACTAGAACCTGGTGTGCCGGCGCCGCAAGGCAGAGGATTAGCCTGTTGAGCCGTGGCACCGGCCATGGAACTCCTATTAAGTGCATAGAGTGAATTTTCTCATTCTGTCTTCCCCATCTCTTAACTACTTTTGCATATTTTTTATTTCTTTAAATCTCCTTGTATCATTCTAGATAATTACCTCAGAACTCTCTTGCAACTTCTTTTATTTTTTAAAAAAAATATTGTTTTCATCTATTTGAAAGGCAGAGTGAAAGAGACAGGTATAGAAGGGAGAGAGAGGGAGATAGATTCCATCCAATGGTTCACTCCCCAAATGCCTACAACAGAGATGGACCAGGCTAAAGGCAGGATTTGGACACTCACTATAGGTCTCCCACATGGATAACAGGACCCAAGTACTTGAGCTAACATTTCTTGCCTTCCCAGGTGGGACTCAAAACTAGGCACACTGATATGGGATGTGGGTTTCCCAAGGGGTGGTTTAATCTGCTGTGCCAGTGCCTACCCCTAAAATTTTTTTATTACTTCATTTTTTACATTAAATTTCTTAGCTTATGAAATTTCTTTTGGTACATAGTATATAGTGAACATTTTGGTTTGCTCTTCTTCCAAATGGTTAGCAACTTATCTAAACAATATTAAGTGATTAATTCTTATTCTGTTTTTACCTTTATCATAAATCTTTATATGTATAGTGCTAAGTATATTCATTTTGTCATACAACAACTTCAAGAATACTCTTCAATTTTCAAAACTAAAACTTTATATCAATTAAACAATAACTCTTCATTTTTACTTCCCTTTTCAACTTCTGGCAGCCACCATTCTATTTTCTGTTGCTGTGAATTTGAATACTCTGGATACTATATATAAGTAGAATCTTACACTATTTGTCTTCCTATGATTGGCTTATTTTTTGACAATAAATATTTTATTACTATGTAATATGGAAAGCTTTCCAAATTATGATTTATCACCCAGAAACAATAGGGAAATTATTAGTACATTCATAAATAGCAATGACAAAGATTTTACAAGTCAAGTTTTAAAAGGGCAAAATTCAATAAACAAATGTGAAATTAAGGTGACAAGAAAAAAATCACAATTGTATCAGATGGCAAAAATATGAGAGTCAATTTCACTTTTCATTTTGGAGAGGGGATAGTAAATTGGCATTTTGATACACTGCTAATATGAAAAAAATTTCAATCTTAATGGTATAAATTTTATCAATATTTAAAAAAAAACTAAGTGCATATATTTTTTGACCCAGAAATCCCATGGTTTGGAATTTATCTTATTGATATACACATACTTCCAATATAATATTTATATATTCATTGGAAAATTATTTGTGATAATAAACAATTGAAGGAAAAGCATAAATATCTATCAATAAAGTACTAATTTACTTTAACATACAGTTATTTAAATAAATGTAATATAACAGGAACAACTATGCTAATCCATAATGACCTAAGGGTTTTTTTTTTTTTTTTTTTGACAGGCAGAGTGGACAGTGAGAGAGAGACAGAGAGAGAAAGGTCTTCCTTTGCCGTTGGTTCACCCTCCAATGGCCGCCGCTGCAGCCGGCGCACCGTGCTGATCCGATGGCAGGAGCCAGGTGCTTATCCTGGTCTCCCATGGGGTGCAGGGCCCAAGCACCTGGGCCATCCTCCACTGCACTCCCTGGCCATAGCAGAGAGCTGGCCTGGAAGAGGGGCAACCGGGACAGAATCCGGTGCCCCGACCGGGACTAGAACCCGGTGTGCCGGCGCCGCAAGGTGGAGGATTAGCCTATTGAGCCACGGCGCCGGCCATGACCTAAGGGTTTGTAAAAAAGAAAGAAGGAACTGATAGGGAGTTCTGAAATATTAAATATAAAAATCAGAGAAGATGTGTGGTATGATTTTGATTTTTTTTTAATTTGCTGAAACATGCGTTATGGCCCAGCATATGGTCTATCCTAGAGAAAGTCCCATGCATTGGTGAGAAGAATGTGTATTCTGCAACTGTGGGGTGAAAAGTTCTGTAGATATCAGGTCCATTTGGTCCATAGTGTCAACTAGCTCTGTTGTTTGTTGATTTTCAGTCTAGTTGATCTGTCCATTGATGAAAATGTGGTGTTGAAGTTCCCTGTTACTATTTTATAGGAGTCTATGTCTCCCTTTAGATTTATTAATTGTTCTTTTAATTGTTCTGATGAAAGTGGGGTAGTGAAATCTGCCATTACTAGTGTATTGGAGTCTAAGTCTCCCTTTAGATCCATTAACATTTCTTTTAAATAGCCAGGCACCCTGTAATTGGGTGCATATACATTTATTATAGTCACATCTTACTGTTGAATGATCCCTTAATCATTACACAGTGCCCTTCTTTGTCTCTTTTAACAGTTGTTATGACTTAAGATCCGACAGTCCTGTACCACACCCATGGTTTTGAATCTTGAGGCAGTGATATTGTTTATTTCTGTTTTCATTCATGGAAGGCAAATAATAGTCCTCACCTCAAAGCTCTTTGTGTAGGAATTTTTGCCCATATTCATGAAGAAAAGTGGCTAATATTTCTCAAATTTTGGCTCATTGTTCAAGCATACTTCAAAAAGTTTCGAGTACCAGGAACCAGCCCTGTGGAGGAGCATCTAGACCAGGAAGTATGGGGCGGGTAGGCCAGGAAGCCTCGGGTGGGTGGCCGGAAGGCCATGAGCCCTGGAGGGTAAAGAAGAGAAGAGAGCCTTGTGACTGGCTTATTCCACTTAGCATAATCCCATCAAATTTGATGCATGTTATAGTGTGTCAGAATTTTTTTCCCTGTTAAATGCTGAATAATAATCCATTGTGTGATTTTACTTATTTTGTTTACTCATCCATCTGTCTGTGGACATGTGAGTTACTTCCACCTATCCATAATATGACTTCTGTTGCTATTAATATAAGTTTGAAAACACCTCTTTGAAATGCTGCTTTCAGTTCTTTTGGGTATATACCCAGAAGTGGAAATGCTGAGTCACATAAGTCTGTTATTATGAATGTCTTATGTTGTTGTGATTAGAATTTTCTTTGCCTTATATTTTGTTGTTGATTCTTATTGGCATAAAGGAAAGCTCTATTGGATTTTGTACATTTCTTACGTTTTTGTCCCTTTCTCAAGTTTGGGTACATATTAGAGGTATCTGGGAGCTTTTACAACATACATAGAGCCAGATCTCAGTTGAGAACAATTTTATCTCAAATGTGGGTTGTTTTTTTCTATATCTGCTATACTATACCAAATGTGATGTTTTTATGAAAGAAAAATCAGTAAGTAAATTTAGATAAGGGAATCCAGGAAGTATATGGCAGATAGCCAAAAGAATAAGGGAGCCATTCTGAAGCCAAAAGTGTTGGTAGTTTTCAAAAGCTTTCCAGGTGATTTTAAAGTGAGGCAAAAGTTGAGTTCTGTTGGCTTAAACCAACTTACTGGATGGAGTCCCATTAGATTCAATCATTGCTCAGTGGGTCCACATAGGTGTTTTGCTAGATAAAAATATCACCTGCAAAGAAAAGTTTTCTTTTCTGTATTTATACCTCTCATTAATGTGTTTTTGGCTTACTAAATTGATTAAAACTTCCTCAACAATAAATCTATCTTTGTTTTTCTCCTGATTTTAGAAGAAAACCTTTGGGGCAGCTGTTGTGGCACACTGAGTTAAGCTGCTGTTGGGTTGCCTACATTCCATGATAGAGCACATGGAATTGAGTCCCACCTCTGCCTGCTATCCAACTTCCTGCTAATGTGCACCCTGGGAGGCAACAGATGATGGCTCAAGTAGTTAGGTCCCTGCCACCCAGGTGGGAGACCCAAATAGAGTTACTGGCTCTTGTTGGTTTGGCTTGGCCCTGCCTGTTGCAGGCATTTGGGAAGTGAACTAGATGATTAAAGATCTCTCTCTCTTTCTCCACCTCTCTTTCAAATACATAAAAATAAGTAAATAAAGATTGAAAAATAAAGTAAAAGGATGAGTTTATTTTAAGTGTGATATTAAATAATGTTTTCAAAGAGATTTTCTTCATGTGTATGTCTTGAGCAAGATATAATAGTAGGGATTATTTGAAGTTTACATATTATCTATGCCTATATATTTTGAAATTTTGGTATGTGTTGTAAAACAAACACAGATAATTTTTTAAAAGAAATAAAAATGTATTTTCAGAGAGGATGTTCAGCCTGGCAGTTAAGATGCCCACATTCTACACTGGAGTGCATGGGGTCAGTTCTGGGGTCTGACTCCTCACTCCAGCTTCCTGCTAAATGCAGACCCTGCAAAGGAGTGTGGTGGCTCAAGTAATTGGATTCTTGCCACCCACATGGGAAATGTGGATTGTTGTGCGGGCTCCTGACTCCAGGCCCAGCCCAGTCCTGACTGTTGCAGGCATTTGGGGGAGTGAATCAATGAATGGGATTCCCTCTCTCACCCTTTCTCTCTCTCTTTCTCACCCCCAACTTCCTTTCAAATAAAAAAATGACCAAAAATATATATTTTTTATTCACTTTACTAATATATTTGGTTACATTCACTTAAAATGCATGTTGAATTATCTTTGTATATTGACTTATCTTTCCTTTCTTTCTGTGAAATTTATAATGTAGATAATCTTCTTTACCCTGTTAACATTTTGAAGCATGTTAATGGATTTGCTAGTGTTGAAAGTATGAGTAAGGGCTTATATATGAAATTTTGTCTATTCCTCCCCCCAGGATGTATGGCTCTCTGAACTGAGGGAGTACATGGCTACATTGCTCCGAGGAGACATGATCACCTTATTCATGCTTACCTGTACTCCTACCTAAGGAGACTTTTTGATGGAAGCTAATGTAAGATGCAATATGTTACACCTTTTCTCCGTATTCTTTTCCTAGATGTTTTCTGGGAGGCATGTGTAAATGATTGTAAAGCAAATGTTGATGAGAGTGTGTGACGAAGGGGACACTAAACTCTGCCAAGATGGGCAACATCTGTTTGATGGAGGGCCTGCCCTTAGTTTTGTGGGTCTTGTGATTTCTGGGTCTCTGATTCAGGAGATGATGGTATGGGAGAGAGGACTTTCTCTCACACTTTCATTCCTTCCTTTCTTTTCAAATGGTCTCTGTTTTATAAGCAAAGATAGAGACTCATAAGGCAATATTTGGTCAGATTTTATTTAACAAAACTCCATTTGTCTGTAGGTTCTGGAGATTCCTTGTGGACTTTTGCATTTTTTTTTCTAAAAGATTTTCCTTTCTTCTGTTTATGAGTTTCATCTTTGTCTTGCTGTTATTGTTGCTGTTCTTTTTTCCAGTTTATTTATAGGTATTTTGGTGGGAAGTTAGAAAAGATTGAATGAAGGTTAAGTTTCAAATGCCAGTTTAAACTAGAAGTCTCATGTCATTTATCTTCTCTGTGCATTATAATCAGGAGAAAGATGTGCAGATTTGTATTAAAGAGGAAATAAGAGAGGAAGTGTGGAGATTAGTAAGGAGCTGTGATAGCTTATAGTATTGGAAACGTTTTTTTCTGATCTACATTTTAAATATTTATTTTTATTTTGTTTAAGGAATACAACTTCATGCATTTAATATATACATATTTGGGAACATGGTAATTTTTTCTCCCCTGCCTCCCTCCCACCTATACTCCCACCTTTCTTCCTCCTCCCTCTTCCTTCCTCATTCTTATTTTTCACAGAGATCAATTTCAGTTAATTTTATACTCATAAGATTAACCCTACACTTACATGGAGAGTATGAAGAAATAGTATGAAAAAAAAAGAAAAACAACAAAAACAAACAAACAAATAAGAAAAACAGTGATCCTTGACAGTCTAGGCAAAGACTGTTCAAATTCATTGTATCTCAAGGTGTCAGTTTCACCCCTATATATTATATTTAAGTACTCCATTAGTTACCACAGTTCAGAGAGTCTATATGGCATTTGTCTTTTTGTGACTGGCTTATTTCACTACATATAATGGTTTCCATTACATCCATTTCATTTTTTTTTTACCGCATTGTAGTATTCCATAGTATATATACCATAATTTCTTTATCCAGTTTTCAGTTGATGGACATCTGGCTTGATTCCATGTATTAGCTATTGTATATCAAGCTGGAATGAACATGGGGGCACAGATCACTCTTTCATATGCTGATTTCATTTCCTTTGTATAAATTCCCAGGAATAGGATGGCTGGATCATATGGTGGGTCTGTATTTGGCTTTATGAGATATCTCCATACTATCTTCCACAGTGGCTGTAACAGTTTACATTCCTACCAATAGTGGATTAGGGAACCCTTTTCCCCACATCCTCTCCAGCATTTGTTGTTTGTTAATTTGTGTATGAGAGCCATTCTAATGGGGGTGCGGTGAAACCTCACTGTGGTTTTGATTTGTATTTTGATTTGGCTAGCAATCCCAAGCATTTTTTATGTGTCTATTGGCCATTTGAAATTCCTCTCTTGAAAAATGTCTGTTCAGGTCCTTTGCCCATTTATTGACTAGGCTGTTTGTTTTGTACTTGTTGAGTTTCTTAAGCTCTTTATAGATTCTAGAGGTTAATCCTTTATCAGTTTCATAGTTTGCAAATATTTTCTCCCATTCTGTTGGTTTCCTGTTCAGTTTGCTGAGTGTTTCTTCTGAGGTGCAGGAGCCTCTCAGTTTGATGTAATCCCATTTGTTAATTTGACTTTGATTGCCTGTGCTTCTGGGATATTTTCCAAGAAATCTTTCCTTATGCCAATGTCTTGTAGGGCTTCCCCAATGTTTTCTAGTAATTTGATGTTATCAGGGCATAGATCCATTTTGAGTGGATTTTTGTGTAAGATGTAAGGTGGTGGTCTTGTTTCATTTTCTGCATGTGGAGATCCAATTTTTCCAGCACCATGGTCTTAGCTCCAGTGGTTGATATTTTGCTTCTTTGTCAAAGATAAGTTGGTTATAGATTTGTGGGTTAATTTCTGGCATTTCTATTCTGTTCCATTGGTCTATCCATCTGTTTTTGTACAGTACCAGCCTGTTTTAATTATAATTATCCTGTGGTATGTCTAGAGGTCTGGTATTGTGATGCCTCTAGCTTTGTTTTTATTGTTTAAGATTGCTTTAGCTATTTGAGGTTTCTTGTGTTTCCATATGAATTGTAGCATAGCTTTTTCTAGATCTGAAAAGAATGTTGTTGATATTTTGATTGGGAATGCATTAAATCTATAAATTGCTTTTGGTAGTATGGACATTTTGATGATGTTGATTCTTCCAACTCATAAACATGGAAGATTTTTCCAATTTTTAGGTCTTCTTCTATTTTTCTTTTTAATGTTTTATAATTTTCATTGTAGAGCTCTTTGTTGTCCTTGGTTAAATTTATTCCAAAATATTTAATTTTTTTGTAGCTATTGTGTATGGGATTGCGCTTAGAAGTTCTTTCTCAGCTGTGGCATTGTCTGTGTATACAAGGGATATTGATTTTAGAGTGTTTATATACCAAACTCTTTTATGAGGTCCAATAGTCTCTTCACAGAGTCTTTTGGGTTCCCTATATATAGAATCATGTCATCAGCAAATAGGGATTTCTTTCTTCCCTATTTGTATCCCTTTGATTTCTTTTTCTTGCCTGATGGTTCTGGCTAAAACTTCCAGGACTATATTAAATAGCAGTGGTGAGAGTGGGCATCCTTGTCTGGTTCCTAATCTTAATGGGAATGCCTCCAATTTTTACCTATTCAGTAGCATTCAAGCTGTGGATTTGTTGTAAATTGCTTTGTTTATGTTGAGGAATTTTCCTCTTATACCCAATTTGCTTTTGGTTTTCTTCATAAAAGGGTGTTGAATTTTGTCAAATGCTTTCTCTGCATCTATTAAGATAATCATATGGTTTTTGGTCTTTAGTTTGTTAATGTAGTGTATCACATTTATTGATTTGCAAATGTTGAACCATCCCTGCATACTGGAGATGAATCCAACTTGGTCTGGGTGAATGAACTTTCTGATGTGTTGTTGGATTTGATTGGCCAGTATTTTGTTGAAGATTTTTTGCATCTATGTTCATCAGGCTTATTGATCTTTAGTTCTCTTTCTCTGTCGTATCTTTTTCTGCCTTAGGAAAAGGTGATGCAGGCTTCATAGAAGGAGTTTGGGAGAATTCTCTCCCTTTCAATTGTTTTGAATAGCTTGAGAAAAATTGAGATTAGTTCTTTTTAAAATGTCTGATAGAATTCTGCAGTGAAGCTGTCGAGGCCTGGGCTTTTCTTTGTTGGAAGGGTCTTTATTACTGATTTAATGTCTGTCTTGGTTATTCATCTATTTAGATGTTCTATGTCTTAATGACTCAATTTAGGTAGGTTGTATGTGTGCAGCAATCTATCCATACAGCTCCTTAATAGTAATTTCTGATGATTCTTTTTATTTCTGTGTTATCTGTTATTACATTTCCTTTTTCATCTCTGATTATTGATTTGGGTCTTCTCCTTTTTTTTTTTGATTAATTAGGCCCATGGTGTTCAATTTTTTTATTTTTTTCAAAAAACCAGCTCTTCATTTCACTGATTTTTTTTGCTTCAGTTTTATTTATTTCTTCTTTAATTTTAATTATTTCTTTCCTCTTACTAATTTATTATTTTATTTGTTGTTTTTTTTCTAGGTCCTTGAGATGCATTGACATCTCATTTATTTGGTGACTTTCCAGTTTTTATTTGTAGACATTAATTGCTATAAATTTCCCTCTTAACACTGCTTTACTGTGTTCCTTAAGTTTGATATGTGCTATTGTCATCTTCATTCATTTCCAGAAATTTTTTTATCTCTCTTTTGATTTCTTTTATGACCCACTGTTCATTTAGAAGCATGTTGTTCAGTCTCCATGTGTTTGCATATTTTCTTGGGGTTCTTGAGTTGTTGATTTTGAACTTCAATTCATTGTGATCAGAGAAGATGCATGATATGATTTAGATTTTTTTGAATTTTCTGAGACTTGCTTTATTGCCTAGTATATGGTCTATTCTAGAGAAAGTTCCATGCACTACTGAGAAGAATGTGTATTCTGCAACTGTTGGTGAAAAGTTCTGTATATATCAGGTCCATTAGGTCTGTAGTGTCAATTAGCTCTGTTGTTTCTTTGTTGATTTTCAGTCTAGGTGATCTATCCATTGATGAAAATGTGCTGTTGAAGTTCCCTGTTACTATTTTATAGGAGTCTATGTCTCCCTTTAGATTTATTAATTGTTCTTTTAAATAGGCAGCCTCTAATTGCATCCACTTACATTTATTATATTCATGTCTTTCTGTTGTATTGATCCCATCATCATTAAATAGTGCCCTTCTCTGTCTCTTTTAACAGTTTTTAAAGTCTATGTTGTCTTATATTAGGATGACTACACCTGCCCTTTTTTCCTTTTTGTTAGCATGGAATATCTTTTCCATATTTTTACTTTCAGTCTACATGTATCTTTGTTGATGAAGTGTGTTTCTTATAGCAGCAAATATGTGGGTCTTGTTTTTCAATCCATTTGTCCAGTCTGTATATTTTAACTGGAAGTTGAGGCCATTTGCATTCAAGGTAAATTTTGATAAGTAACTACTTGGCCCTACCATGTTCCTGTCATTTACTATTTTTACTTTTTTCTTTTTCTTTCTTTTTTTTTTGTAGTTTTACTGGGGTTTTCTGTCTTTGCATTGTTTCATGATGATGCCTTTCTTTCTGTGTTTCTGTGTGTAGCACATCCTTAAGCATCTTTTGTAAGCCTGGATGAATGGTAATAAATTCTTTCAATTTCTATTTGTTACAGAAGATCTTTATTTCACCTTCATTCATAAATTAGAGCTTTGCTGGGTATAATATTCTAGGTTTACAGATTTTTTTTTTTATCTTAAGATTTGGACTATATCTCGCCATTTTCTCTTAGCTTGTAGGGTTTCTGATGACAAGTCTGCTGTGAGTCTAATTGAAGATCCTCTGAAAGTAACCTGGTATGTCTCTCATGCACATTTTAAAATCTTTTCCTTATGTTTTATTGTGGAAAGTTTGATTACAATGTGTTATGGTAAAGATCCTTTCTGGTAATTTCTGTTAGGAGTTCTATATGCTTTCTGTACTTGAACATTTCTTTCTTTTTCCAAGTTAGGGAAATTTTCTGTAATTATTTCACAACATAGGCCTTCTGGTCCCTTCTCTCTTTCCATACCTTCAGGTACTCTTAAGACCCATATGTTGGGTTGTTTGATAGTGTACCATAGATCTCCAACACTGTTGTTTTTTAAAAATTGTTTTAAATATTTATTTATTTATTTGAAAATCAGAGTTACACAGAGAGAGGAGAGGCAGATCGGGGAGGGGTCTTCCATCCAATGGTTCACTCCCCAATTGGCCACAATGGCCAGAGCTATGCCGATCCAAAGCCAGGAGCCAGGAGCTTCTTCTAGATCTCCCACGTGGGTGCAGGGGCCCAAGGACTTGATCCATCTTCTACTGCTTTCCCAGGTCATAGCAGATAACTGTATTGGAAGTGGAGCAGCTGGGTCTCAAACTGGTGCCCATATGGGATGCCAGCGCTTCAGGCCAGGGCATTAACCCACTGTTACACAGTGCTGGCCCCACCAACACTGTTTTTAAGTTTTCTTTTTTTTTATTTTATTTTTTTACAGGCATAGTGGACAGTGAGAGAGAGAGACAGAGAGAGAAAGGTCTTCCTTTGCCATTGGTTCACTCTCCAATGGCCGCCGCGGCCAGCGCGCTGTGGCCGGCGCACCGTGCTGATCCGATGGCAGGATCCAGGTACTTATCCTGGTCTCCCATAGGGTGCAGGGCCCAATCACTTGGGCCATCCTCCACTGCACTCCCTGGCCACAGCAGAGAGCTGGCCTGGAAGAGGGGCAACCGGGACAGAATCCGGCGCCCCGACTGGGACTAGAACCTGGTGTGCCGGCGCCGTTTTTAAGTTTTCTAATTACTTCCTTTTTTTTGGTCTGACTGTAAAATTTCCAGAGATTTGTCTTCTGTCTCAGATATTCTTTCTCCTCCCTTACCAACTCTGTTAAGGCTTTCCACTGCATTTTTTTATTTGACCTATTGAATTCTTCATTTCTAATATTACATTTTGATTTCTCTTTAAAATATTAATTTCATAGGAAAAATTTTCATTTGTATCACGTGTGGTTTTCTTTAGTTCATGGATTTACTTCTGATTGCTTTTGAGTAATCCTATGATGAATTTTTTGATTTCCATTTCTGGCATTTCTCAATCCCTTCATCTTCACATTCAAATATTGAATTGTTGATGTGTTCTTTTGAGGGGGTCATAGTGTCTTCCTTGTTCTTTTTTCTTGAATTTCTGTATTTATTTTTAGGCATTTGTAGAATGCTGTCTTTTTTTTTCCGTCTGATGGCTTTTATATTTGAGTTATGCCTATGTGGCTTTAATGGAATGACAACAGTTTCAGTGAATACCAAAAGGTGTAAGGTGGGTGTGGCTAGGGAGCTCTGTTCAGTGCTACAGTATGGGGTGAGTATCCAGGATAACACCCAAGCTGGGCATGGTAGCTCTTCTCTGCTTAACTGGATGGAGAGGAATGGTCACCTCTGTTGGTGCAACCACCCCTTCTCCTCCAAGCTGAGGAGTGCAGCGGTGTTAGCCCCCAGTGTGTTCAGCACTCATCTGCAGTCCTTCCTGTGAGCAGGGTTCCCTCTGCCATGAGCTACTCTAGGCAACCAAGGAGCTCTGAGAGTGTGCATCAGCACTCTGTGATTGCCCAGAACCCAGCTACATCCTGCCTCCTCTCATGCGGTCACAGTGTTTTGTCAGTCTCAGCACCCAGGTCTCTCAGGGTCAAAGAGTGCAAGTGGGGCCACTTCGCCCTACCTGCCTGTCCTGTTCACAGGGAAACTGAAGTGTTCCCAGAGCTATTGTTCGTGTCTGTTCCAGCCCCCTGGATCAAATCTGGTCCTCAGAACCAGATTCAGCATCTTTGGGGAACGTGGGTTTTTCTTTCTGGTAAAATCTCTGGGTCACAGGCACACTCGATACCTGTCAGCCACAGCCTCGCTCACTTCACAATTGTGCTGGGCACATGGAGAGTCCAGCAGGTGGCACTTCCCTTCCGTAGAGATGGCTCTCCCTCCCTACCAATTGCCTGGTGGGTGTAGCTGGCACGGTGGAGACCATCCTTGTCTGTTGCCCTTGAACTGCTAGGGTGCCCCTGCTGATTGGGTGGAGGGTGACCCCAATAGTTGCAGGGTGTACGCACAAATGCTGGAGCAGCTGCTACCTGCTTATGTCCAAATATGGCACCAGTCCTCCCACCTCTGACTACAGGTCGCTGTTGTAGGGGGGAGAAAAGGAGTGACAGAGACACCCCTTTCCCCTCGACTCTCCCCACCCTGGGTGAGCATCTCCCCGCTTCCCTGAGGGATCTGGTGCCGGACTCAAAAATGGTGCAGTTCACTAATCTCTCCCTCCAGCTGTATCAACAGTGGCATGGGCCTGTGCAGTCAGATCTCACCTGGTTCGCCAGGGTGGGTGCTTTTCTCCTCCTGGATCCAAGCTGCTGGAGTCTGTTGTTTCGTTGCTGCTTGCTCTGTGTTTGCAGCTTCCACACGTGTCCTGACTATTTCTACTGCTTTCGCAGGACCTTCCACTGCAGTTTCCCCTGCAATTTTACACTGAGAGAGTACTTTATGCACTTTTTAAAAACTTTTATTTAATAAATATAAATTTCCAAAGTACTACTTTTGGTTTATAGCAGCTTCTCCCCCCAGACCTCCCTCCCACCTGCAACCATCCCATCTCATGCTCCCTCTCCCATCCCACTCACATCAAGATTCATTTTCAATTATCTTTATACATAAAAGAAGATCAATTTAGTATATACTAAGTAAAGATTTCAACAGTTTGCACCCACACAGAAACACAAAGTAAAAAGTACTGTTTGAGTACTAGTTATACTGTTAATTCACATAGTACAACACATTAAGGACAGAGATCCTACATGGGGAGTAAGTGCACAGTGACTCCTGTTGTTGATTTAACAATTGGCACTCTTATTTATGGCATCAGTAATCACCTGAGGCTCTTGTCATGGGTTCCCAAGGCTATGGAAGTCTCTTGAGTTCACCAATTCTGATCTTATTTAGACAAGGTCACAGTCAAAGTGGAAGTTCTCTCTTCCCTTCAGAGAAGGGTACCTCTTTCTTTGATGGCCTGTTCTTTCCACTGTGATCTCACTCATAGAGATCTTTCATTTAGGTCATTTTTTTTTTGGCCAGAATGTCTTGGCTTTCCATGCCTGAAATACTCTCATGGGCTTTTCAGCTGGATCCGCATGCCTTAAGGACTGATTCTGAGGCCAGAGTGCTGTTTAGGACATGTGCCATTTTATGAGTCTGCTGTGTATCCTACTTCCCATGTTGGATCGTTCTCTCCCTTTTTGTTATTCTATCAGTTAGTATTAGCCGACACTAGTCTTGTTTATTCCACTTTTTTTTTTAATATTAATTTCACTTAGCCTGAGTCATGCTGCCCTGTCACTATTC